CCCCAAAACCCCAAAACCCCAAAACCCCAAAACCCCAAAACCCCAAAACCCCAGCTTTTTAATGGGGGTTATAAAATTAATATAAAATGAGTTTGAATAACAGCTATTTTTACTCTCAAGTGAATGCGAAGAGTAATAAAAGATATAATGTTAGTAAAAAACTGTAAATATATTGTCTATTTTCTTTTTTTTAATAATTTTGTTTATGGTTTAATAATTTAAATTATAGAGTTCATTTAACCTCATACCCCAGTTCTAGAATCGTTTGAAACCTGAAAAATAGCTCAAACTCCTCTCTTTCTATTGCCCTAAACTCAGCCAAACCCTCCTCAGGTCTTACTTCTCCAAGCCACCATACCAAAGTAAGGCCCCATAACTATTCCCAAAAATCAAAAACAACCCCAAAACATTACCCCAACCATCACCCCACAGTCAAACCAACCCCCCTCCTTCTCAACCCACAATCCCTTACCTTTACCACACCTTTTCTTTTCTTCTAAACCCTCCTTTCCTCTCCACTCATCACATCTTCACCTTATTCCTGTACTCTACCAATTTCTATTCTTTACAACTAAATTCCAGTCATAGGTCTCCCTCTGTGAAGAGGGAGACTGGAATTTTAGTGGGAAGAAAATAGGTGATTGGGCAGAAGGAATGGGAAAATTGGAATGGGTGGGAAAGAGAGAGGTGAGATGGGTTGATGAAGGGTTGATTTGGAGAATGGGTGTGGGAGGGAAATTTAGGGGTGAGAGAGGATTTATAGGGGAAGATTGGAGGGTTGGGAGATGGTGAGAAGTTGAATTTTTAATTTTTTGGGAAGTAAATTTTTATGTCAAGTGAAAATTTGAAAATATTTATATCAAGTTCTTATAATTTCATTTAGAATCCTGTTAAAAAGTTGAAAATGAACCTATTGAAATCGATCATCAAAGAGTATCAATCGAATCAATATCACCAATCTCTCTCAAAATCTTCATCTAAAGTTAGCTTGAACAACTCCAAATCAGAGTTGAGAAGGCCTTTTTCTTTGCAAACAAGTCCCCAAATGAATGAAAATTTCAAGTCCTCTCATAAGAAAAAGATTAAATGTAAATTATTACAGAGTTCCTACTAATATTGTTAGCATTATTAATCTTTCTGTAGTGCTGATTTCAGGGTTAAAATAAGTTAAAGCAAACAAATCAGAAACTAAGTGAATACAATGACAGATTCCCAATATCCAATTTATGAGCCAGCAGAAATGCTTCACGAAGTTGTAGACCTCCTACTCCAAAAGAAGATGCTAAAGCTGTAAAGTCTACTGAAAATTTGATGGACTGAGCAATTAAGTTCATTCGAATTTTAGATAGGTTTAATCAAGCTGGAGAACAGAAACTGGACTGTAAATAAAGTTAAAATAGGTGAGAGTTTGATCGCTTCTGGGCTTGCAAAAGAAGTTGAGGATACCTATCTACAAAATTAATAAAAGCCAAACATTTAAGATGTGATAAAATATTTATCTTTCAGATTGAGCTTTGAAAAAGCGTTTAAAACAAGGAATTCTAGTGTTAATAGTCAGGGTAAACACATATGATAATATTGTGTTCCAGATTAAGTCGAATTGCTTATTAAGCATGAAGCTTTATGCAATTAACTTAGTTTGTACAGTCTTAATAAGTTTCTGAATCTCTTTACTATTTGAGCATCTGAATAACGTAATATTTTTAATTTTGATTCTTTTCCGAATTGTTCTTTTTCTCTGACAAATTAACATCTTAAATATTTAAATTTTTTAATGATTCATTAAATTCCCAGTTTAATGCTTTCTGATTTATTCTAAATCTGCTTGGTTTATAGAGTTTGACTTTTAAACTATTTTAGAAATTTTAAGTATTTGTGAAAAAGCTACAGAAATCGAGAAATATAGAATTAGCAATTTGAAACAAGAAAGGTTATTAAAAGAAACAGGCAGGATGAATGGCAATAAGAGTTTAAATGCCTATGCTTCCTTTGATACCATCAGGCTTAATAATATTATGAAGAAAGATGTTAGAAGAAAATACAAAGATAAATTAAAAAGTAATTTTTGGGGAAATTTGTTATAAAATTTGCAATAAATTACACTTTGGTCCTTAATTTAATTTTACTGTAGATCTGTCAAGAAACTCCTCATGAATAAATATCCAAACTAAAAACATGTCCGCAGGTATTACATATTTAGGAGCTGAAAATTATAATTATTAAATAGAGCCTCAAAGCATTTTTGATCAAAGAAATTGCATCCTTCCCAAAACTATTAACAGATCATTTAAAGATCAGAGTAGATTTTCAAAGAGATTATATCAAACAAAGAAAGATAAAAATGGCAGTGACAAGTACTTACCAACCAAAGAATTTGATTCTGTTCTTTAATAGGACTGGGCATATAAATCTCAATACCCTCCACAAGGTAAATTTTCTTTCATTAATTGATTATATTAAAAAATAATTTCAAACAATTCCATGATCTTTTAAATAAATTTCCAGCCATTAAAGTTCAACCCCTTCAAAAATCCAAGGGGTTTTGGGGTTTTGGGGTTTTGGGG